GGGGGGGGGGGGGGGGGGGGGGGGGGGTTTCTCTATTGATCCGTGACTTGGAATGTTGAAGAAGTAATGGTCAAGAAAAAGAGTGTGATAGGTATTGAATGACTTGGCGTTTTCTACATTGAAGAACAAACTTGACATGAATCAGCGCAAACAACACCCCCACCCCACCCCCTTCATCCCTGCCCAGCTGCCATCTAGAAACTAGGAGAATCATGTATACCTTCACTGGAACACCCTCCCTTACCCCCCACGCCCCCTTCCAGAGATATGAAGTCCCCATGCCCTCATCTTCCCCCCTTTACGCGGACGTACGTATACGGATACGGACCGAGCCACTACATCGGCAAGACATGGGAGAAGTTCGATATTGGTGAACTGGTACCCAAGCCCAGCGGACAGAAATCATGGGGCGAGATGCCGTGAAGCGCGGCGACTGGGATCATGCATTACATACATGTGCATATGTACACCATATAAGGGGGGTTTGGACCGTGGGGAGATCATGCTGTGGGTGGCTCAAAGTGGGGATGCATATGTTGAAACCAATAACTACCTAGTTCGTATGTTCTGTTTGATCACTTTACCATGGCCGCGGAAGGAGAGTAGCATTGTAATGTGTACAATAGATAGTTAGGGATAACCTTTTCTCCCAATAAACGTAAACGCCGCCGCTGATGCAATCATGCTTTTATTTTTGGCTACAATCACGCCTTTCCTGACCTCTTGGCCTTGCGGGCTTGCCTCTTCTTTGCAATGATCCTGGTTCTCAGCGCGAGTTTCTCATCACTGCCCTTGTTCTTAGCGGAAGCAGGGCCCGCTTCCGCACCCGAACCCTGTTTCGATTTGTCGGTAGCCTTGCCCTTACTCTTTTTATCTCCAGCACTCGAGTCTCGCTTTCGCTTCTTGCCCTTTGTTTTGTCTGGCTGGGCTTCGTCCTCGTCAGCCTCGCTGCCTGTCTTTGGCTTTCGGGGCTCTCGGGACTTTTCCTCGCGATCTGTACGTCTGTTGACGACGTTTGCGTTCTCGATGGCAAATTCTACGATGAGACGCTTGCGCTTGTCTTCCAGTGCTTCCTGCGCTTGCTTTTTGCTTTTTGGTGTCGGGTCCGTCTTGATCTTATAATCCACGGCATGCCCGTTCAGCCATCGTAGTCCCATCAAAGCATTACGGTGAGTGTAGTACTCGATGAAACCATATCCTCTACTTCTTCCAGCGCCAGCTTCCTCCGGAACTTTGCTACCTGCAGGTGTCTCGAAGACGACCTTGGCTTGCTTGACAATACCTTTGCCCTTCTTCTTACGCATCTTCTCTGCTACCAACATCTCCT